CCTTCCAGCTGGGTAATGGCTCAGACAAACTCGGTTTAATGCCTTTAGTGGAGGCATCATCTTCAGCATGGTGAATTTAGTTCAGTCAGAAAGTGTTAAGGGTCTAATCCGCTAACTAGTAGAACAATGCATGATTTTGGCGTGTGTGCGTACCTGTTTTTTCACCAAACAGAAGCCAGGAAACAGTCGTCCTGAGAGCAGTGTGGATCTAAGAGGAGCAAAGCTGCACTGGGCCGACGACCTGTCCAGCAAGAAAAACGTCTTCAAGGTAAGAAAATGAATTCTCTCCCTTTTTTTCAATTGTTCTGTCTCTGTCAGACTGTTGTTCCTGCTTTTGAATGTGGATGATTTGATAGCAGATGTGTAGTTAAACACAATAGTGTTTCTGTTAATCCAAGGGCCTCTTATCAGTGAGGGAAGTGAGAGTGCGAAACTTTTTTTTTTTACATCCCTTGTAGACTCTTCATCTCACAGAGGAAGAGGAAGAGTAAAAAATAACAATTCCGGTAGATTGCGCATGTCGCCCTTTTAGCACATATTTCACATATATCTCACATATCACACATATCAGACATATCTCACATATCAGACATATCACACATATCAGACATATCACACATATCACACATATTTCACATATCTCACATATCTCACATATCACAAATATCTCACATATCACACATATCTCACATATCTCACATATCACTCATATATCACAGACATCACACACATCACACATATCTCACATATATCTCACATATCTTACATATCACACATATATCTCACATATCTCACACATCACACATATCTCACATATATCTCACACATCTCACACACATCTCACATATCACAGACATCACACACATCACACATATCTCACATATATCTCACATATCTTACATATCACACATATATCACACATATTTCACATATCTCACATATCTCACATATCACAAATATCTCACATATCACACATATCTCACATATCTCACATATCACTCATATATCACAGACATCACACACATCACACATATCTCACATATCTTACATATCACACATATATCTCACATATCTCACACATCACACATATCTCACATATATCTCACACATCTCACACACATCTCACATATCTCAGATATCACACATATCTCACATATCTCACATATCACACATACCTCACATATCACACATATGTCACATATCTCACATATCACACATATCTCACATATCTCACATATCTCACATCCAGTGCAGTGGTAACGGTTGTATAAGTGAGCACTACATCACCGCCACGATGAAGAAATACATTCAAGAGATTACACCTATTGAAAGATCGTAACCTGGATTCAACCCTGGTGAGCAAAACTATGAAAAGTCCCAAAGCAGCTGAACTACGGAGTCCACCAACGTCACCTACTGGTTCCATCGACATGTAGTTATTGATGCCTTAAGTTGCAGCTCGTCAAAAAAAAACATTTTGGTTCAGGATGAAGCGAGACAACTGGAGACCTAACTGTCCGTTAGCACCTTGTCTCACTGTTCCTCAGAGATCAGTGGTGCAGATCCTACTAAAGGCCTGATTCTTCTGCAGAGAAGATACAAGAATAAAGTTATCTGACTCAACACCTGATCTCTGTCAGTCTGAGAGGAAACGAACAAAGGGAGCGTCTGTGGGCCGAGCTGTCAGAGAGAGGAGATGTGGACCTACGACCCCCCATGAAGACGCTGTAACGGTCTCGTGGTGTTTGGGGGCCTCTAGTGGCGCCCTGCAGATTGTGTGTGTGTGTCTTCTCTCTTTGTGACGACCATATAGTCCTTGTTTGTGAGGACACACTCCCTCCTTTCATCGTCTTTTGGGTTTTAGCTTTATTCTTATTGCGTTGCAGCAGAAGCTTCCGACCCCAAAGCTGCAAAGTACTAAGGTCACGTTGGAGAACTTCAACATCTCACTACGATTAAAGTCATTTGTATGTAACTTCCAGTGTTTAATGTTTGCCCATTTCTTGGTAAAAAGTTTATTCAGACAATCAAAAATAAAGAGAAATAAAGGCAATATAAGCAGAAACACATCAGACGGAATAAACGTTGTGAAAAGCAGAAGTGAAACTAACGAGTCTAAAGAGGGATTTAAAAATAACAACGGTTCCTCAATCAGCAAAAGCAAACCGATGTTTTATTCTCAGACTCGTGTTTCGTAGATTCGGCGTCGCATACGGACAGAAAACATCTAATTAGTTTTTCAAAAATACTGGCAGAATAAATAAAAATGAACTCAATTTTTCTTAAAAATGTAAAATCTTTATTTGGCCAACAGAAACATGATCTGAGCACATTTAATGCCGTATTATCCCTGACGCCGCACATGCAAAACAAAAAGGTTTCCAGTCAGATCCGCTTCCTCTCGTATTCGTACCTCCGTCACAGTGACTTAAACACGTTATCCATCCAGCTTAAATACACTCGAGTCCTCTGGGGTTCTCTTTAAAGTACCGGATCAACAGAACCACGGCCGCTGGAGAAGGTCGCCGACGATCTGAAGACTCTGCGTTGGTTCCAGGAGCCTCGTTGAATAGATTCTTCCTGTAGAAACATGGCGGCCGGTCGAGCTTCACCAGATGTGCCAAAAAACAACCGCTCAGTCTTTTTTTCTCTTTCCCAAAACATCTTGAGGTGAATCAGCAAGCGGCTGTTCAGTTTCTGGAAGTGTTTCAGGTTTCTCTTTCGTTTGTGTCTCGTAGTAAATTGATCTATAAACCTGATGGTGAGGAACCAAACGAGGCCGAGAGGACGCGCCACTCAGGATGAGGGCGACTGGTTGCTATGGGAACCGTCCAAGACCAGACTTCATTTCCACCTGAAGACCAACTGAAGGTTGAGAGTCTTGGACCCTTTTTTCCACCAGAGAATCCAGAAACAAGGAAGAAACATTCAGGAGCTTCTTCTACGATCCCGAAATGAACATTTAGCTTTGATTAACAACCATACAAGAGATGATGAAATAATCGCTTAGTGATGCAAATGTGTGAAAAGTTTGAATTGTTTTTGTCGGATTTCTCCACAAGACGACAAGAAAACAGCTTTAAAATGCTTGTTTTTTAGTGGAGTTTGGGGGCAGCGAAGCGAAACGTTTGACCTTATTTTATTTGATCTTAATGAAGTCGCTCGTTTTTCGGTGTGAACTTTAGAAAGAAAGAAAAGACAGAAGCTACGACACATTCCTCATCCGTCCTTTGAGGCACTGACAGTGAATCTACAGGCAAACGCTTTTAAACTCGTCTCCCAAACATGTGACGAAAACCGCGAAGCTGAGAAGCTCGAAGACCTTTGATTGAAATCTGAGGCAGGAACTTCAGCCCGAGGAACCGACTGAGAACCAGGTTCCTCCTCTGGAAAAGGATCTGAAGAACCCGTCGGCGCCGCTCGTGAGCCGCGTTCACGCCGCTCAGGACGGTTTGATGATAGAAGATATCGATCTCCAGGTTCTGTTCCCTCACGAACATCCTCCACGTTTGGCTGAACTAAGATTAAAAGTTGGATATTCTGAGGGTGAACTAATCAATCAACACGAGCGGTGCGCAGGAATAAGTTACTTTGGGAGTACTGAGTACTGATTACAGAGTACTGATTACAGAGTACTGATTACAGAGTACAGAGTACTGAGTACAGAGTACTGAGTACAGAGTACTGATTACAGAGTACAGAGTACAGAGTACAGAGTACTGATTACAGAGTACTGATTACAGAGTACTGAGTACAGAGTACAGAGTACTGAGTACTGAGTACAGAGTACTGAGTACAGAGTACAGAGTACTGAGTACAGAGTACTGAGTACAGAGTACTGATTACAGAGTACTGATTACAGAGTACTGAGTACTGATTACAGAGTTCAGAGTACAGAGTACTGATTACAGAGTACTGAGTACTGATTACAGAGTACAGAGTACTGAGTACTGATTACAGAGTACAGAGTACAGAGTACTGATTACAGAGTATTGATCACAGAGTACTGAGTACAGAGTACAGAGTACTGAGTACTGATAGAACTGATTAAGTTGAGAGCGGCGGTGTTGTGCTTTAAGCCGTCGCCGTGTTAACTGGTGACAGAAAGAGTCTCACAGCGACTGACGTTAAATGACAAACACACATTTAAAGGTCATTGAAGGCTTCTGTTGGTGTTTAAGGTTAAATGTTTTTCCGTCGCTACGAACACTCAGGAAGCTCAGAGGCTCCGTTTAACACGGTAACTGATTAAAGCAGAACACCGGCAACCACAAGCGCTGAACGCGTAGACCAGTAAGAGAGAACACAGCAGTTTGCCTCCGTTATGGAAGTCACCTAAACGACAGCCGTGAGTCTCTGAGGGGGTTTGAGGTTCGGCTCATGGGCTCATCATCTCATCATCTCATCATCTCGTCATCTCGTCATCTCATCATCTCATCATCTCATCATCTCGTCATCTCGTCATCTCATCATTTTATCATCTCGTCATCTCGTCATCTCATCGTCTCATCATCTCGTCATCTCGCCATCTCGTCATCTCGTCATCTCATCATCTCATCATCTCGTCATCTCGCCATCTCGTCATCTCGTCATCTCATCATCTCATCATCTCATCATCTCGTCATCTCGTCATCTCATCATCTCGTCATCTCATCATCTCGTCATCTCATCATCTCATCATCTCATCATCTCGTCATCTCATCATCTCATCATGGGAATGCTCCTCAGCGAGGAACATGAACTGAGCCGTCTGATTAATCTGAGGAGACCTGAACGCAGCTCCAGCACAATTTTCTTGGATCAAACAACTTTTTAAAAAACAACAATAAAAAAAACTTCCCTTTTTTAAAAAAAACACTGAGGACAAAAACAACAAAATATTAAACATTTGTTCAGTAGTTCTTCTTGAAATTTGGACCACAATACTTCTGTCTGTTAATTGGGCTGCAGCATGTTTTTGATCTGCTTGGACGTGGCCTCGTCGTTCAGGTGTTTGGTCGTATACCTGCAGGGACGAGTTCAACAACCGCTCAGCAAAACAAACAATGATGGGACGATAATCAAAAGGAGAATGAGATTAATGTCCTGTGGGTTTGTGTGGTGCGTTTGAGGACAATCAGACCTGAGAGCGTTGAGTAATCCCTCCACACTGCTGGGCGGCTGCTCCTTCAGAACTCTGATGCAGCCTTTCATCTGGAAGTGATGATAATAATAATCTACAGGTGTGTGTGTGTGAGTCTGTGTGTGTGTGTGTGTGTGAGTCTGTGTGTGTGTGTGTGTGTGTGTGAGTCTGTGTGTGTGTGTGTGTGTGTGAGTCTGTGTGTGTGTGTGTGTGAGTCTGTGTGAGTCTGTGTGTGTGTGTGTGAGTGTCTGTGTGTGTGAGTGTCTGTGTGTGTGTGTGAGTCTGTGTGTGTGTGTGTGTATGTGTGAGTGTGTGAGTGTGTGTGTCTGTGAGTGAGTGAGTGTGTGTGTATGTGTGAGTGTGTGTCTGTGTGTGTGTGTCCTACGTCTATGTTGCAGGTCTTGACGAAGGCTCCGGCCGGGTGAACGTGGTCGTACAGGATGATGACGCCGACCATCACGCGGAGGCAGAACAGCACCGTCTCCTCGCTGGCGAAGCGGCTGCGGTACTCTCTGCACACAGACACACACCAAATCACACACAATACCACACACACACACACAATGTGATGGTGCGTTCGGGGACTCACGGTGTTTCCAGCATCACTTTGCACACGCTGGCCATCGTGCTCAGACAGTCGGTCGTGTTTTCTATCGGGACGTCCACATTCTGGACAAAAGGGACAATAAAGGTTTATTTAATTTACACAAACACTGTAGAACGAGATTAATATCAGAAACATTTAAATATTAATACAGCTTAATGCTAAAGTTTGTTGTATTGTTTTATTTTTAATTATTACGCTGATTTCATATTGTTGACAAATTGAATCTGTTAATCTTTAATAATTCAGATAAATGTTATAAATATTTCCTTGTGAAAGGCAGCAAAAGATCGTAATCATGCAGATAATCTTATTATGTGGTGACGTCGCCTTCAATGACACCTTTAATATAAAGAAATCTTTTCTTTAAATTGAAGTCTGTGTCGCTTTAATCCTTTTCATGAAATTGCCTTTTATTTCTTATATTATTGGGAGGTTGTAGCTCAGCAGGTTGTCCTTTTTCTATCTTATTTTATTTATTTTTGTATTTATTTCTATTAGATATTTTCAGGACAGTCAAACACATAATGCATAAACAGAAATGTAAACGAAAAAATATTGACAGACATAAAATAATATATAATAATATCAAATTAAACAGAAAATGTTGACAAACATAATCATAATATGAAATGTTAATATTAAAATGAATATAAACTAAACTAAATTGTGAAGGTAAACATTAATACATTATAAACATCAATATAAATATCAGGACTCACGTCAGAGACGAACTTTGACGTGGCGTCGCTGAGCGTCTTCAGCATCGGCGTGGCGCTGGCGTAGAACAGAGACATCCGATTGGCCAGCTCGTTGTTCACATGGATACGAGATCGGTGAGCAGACCTTGAGCTCGTCGAAGCGCAGCGTGAAGTGAAGGATGTGAGCGAACTGACGAGCCAGAGCTTGTTTCTGCTCCAGATGCTGAGTGGGAGTCAGAGTGGAGGTGGTGAGGACGTCCAGGAGGCACCGCACCACGACCAGGGGTTAGAGAAGGTGTGCTGGGAAGCAAAAGGTTGGTGGTTCGATTCCAGGCTGCCCCATGATCCATGTCGAAGTGTCCCTGAGCAAGACACCTAACCCCTAATTGCTCCCTGGGCAAAATGTGAAAAATCCATGGGTTTAAAGTGTGATGTAAGTCGCTTTGGATAAAAGCGTCTGCTAAATGACCTGTAATGTAATGTAATGTAATGTAATGGACTCCTCCTCCTCTTCCTCCTCCTCCTCTTCCTCCTCCCCTTCCCCCTCCCCCTCCCCTTCCTCCTCCTCCCCCTTCAAAAGCATGTGTGTGTTGTCAGCTTCATAAAGATCCTGTAAGTCACCGTTGATTATTATGCACAACATTGTTTATGTCATTTACAAAATATGCAGCGTGATGCCAAGAGAGACTCCAAAATATCCTACTGTGTTTTTATTCATTTATTGTGTTATTCGTATTCATTAGCAGTCACGTTGGCCATGGATCCCCTTTGGTTTGCTTTTGCCCCCAAAACGTCTGTGCACGTGTCTCCTGCCGACTCGATGATGAAATGATGATTAAAGGACCTGAACAGAGTCCCAGATCGTCTCTGAGCTGCTCTGGTTCTTCTGTGTGAGGAGCAGCTTTAGCACCTGACCGGATGCTGGTGGAGGTGTGAGGACCCGCCTCCCTCCTCTCAGCTCGTCCTCCAGCTGCTTCAGAGCTCCACTTCTGCTCGTGTTCACCAGAGGAAACACGATGCACGCGATGCTTTCCCTCCCTGCTGCTGCTCTGTGCGCCCTGAGTTCAGGTGAGTGTTTGCAGCCACTCGACAAGCTCCGCCTCCGACGCACCTTCATCACCTGTCTGTTTGTCTGCAGCGCTGGTTGCCATGGCAGCACAGCTGATTCAGGAGGATTTGACGTTGACCAGGACAGTTGGTGGGAAAGTCTCCTTCAGCTGTGGAGGAACCGACCAGTGCCCCTATGAATATGTATACTGGTACCAGAAGAGAGACACAGGAACATTCACATGGATTCTTTGGATTAATAAGAGAAGTGGATCCATAGATAAGTCGTACAATCATCCTCAGAAAGATGATTTCACAGCTGTGAAGAAAGAGTATGGCTGTGATTTGGAGATCCAGAAGGTTGATCTCACTCATTCAGCCTCCTACTACTGCGCCTGTAGGATCCACAGTGAGCAAAGCTTCCTGCAGCCTGAACAAAAACCATCAGAAGAACAGGAAGCGTTTGACAAAGATCTAAAACCACATCTCAGGTGGACGTTCCTCCTCCAGCTGAGCCACAAACACGACTCATGATTTATTCGTCTTTATTCACACGAGCCTCAAAGATTCCTGCAGTTTGTTGTTGCTTCATTCAGGAAGAACAAGAATGAAACAAGTTACTTCCTGTTTTATTGTGGCGTCTAAACCCACTCTTGTTTCAGGTGCCTTGCCCTTCCTCTGGTGTCTCCTGTCGATTGTCTCCCCTGATTCCTAATTGTCTATATGTCAAGGCGGAAAAGAGTGAGTTCCATGCCACTACTGTCTTCTTCCCGGGCTTTATCGTAGCTCCTGGAAAGGTTCAGATGGATCCGGCTAAAGTCAGTGCGGTAGCCGATTGGCCTACACCTGATAACCGCAAGAAGTTGCAGCAATTCCTCGGTTTTGCGAACTTCTACAGGCGGTTTATCAGAGGCTTCAGCGCGACAGCAGCCCCGCTCCATGCTCTCACTCCCACACAGGTCCCGTTCCGCTGGTCGGCCGACGCAGACGCAGCCTTCCGGGAGCTCAAGCGGAGATTCACCACAGCTCCCATCCTCACACTCCCGACCCGGCTCGTCAGTTCGTGGTGGAAGTGGACGCCTCCAGCGAGGGGATCGGGGCCATCCTCTCCCAGCGAGCCGAAGGGGACCACAAGCTTCACCCCTGTGGCTTTTTGTCCCGCCGATTGACGCCAGCAGAGCGGAACTATGACGTGGGGGACCGGGAGCTACTGCCAGTGAAGGCGACATTGGAGGAATGGCGGCACTGGTTCGAGGGGGCTCAGCACCCGTTTTTGGTTTGGACAGATCACAAAAATCTACAATATATTAGGAAAGCCAAGCGACTCAATTCGCGTCAAGCCCGATGGTCATTGTTTTTTAACCGCTTTGATTTTTCTTTATCTTACAGACCGGGGGCGAGGAACACCAAGCCATCACGATTGTTGAGCCCTGAGTCGGTGGCCAGGGTACCTGAGCCTATCCTCCCACTGAACTGTGTGACCCCTCCACCTCGTAGGTGTCCTGATAATCCGCTGTTTGTCCCCGTGGAATTGTGCCCTCAGGTGATTCACTGGGCTCACTCGTCCCTGCTCACCTGGCATCTGGGCGTACGGCGGACCATGTTTGCCATCGCGCAGAGGTTCTGGTGGCCCGCCATGGAGCCGGAGGTCCGGGAGTACGTGGAGGCATGCTCCGTCTGTGCCAGAAACAAGAACTCCTCCAGAACCCGGGCAGGCTTGCTCCAGCCACTGCCCATTCCGTCCCGGCCATGGGCCGAGATATCGGTAGACTTTGTCACGGGGCTCCCGACGTCAAACGGTAACGACGGTAACGGTAACTATCCTGACTGTGGTGGACAGATTTTCCAAGATGGTGCACTACATAGCCCTACCTAAACTGCCATCAGCTAAGGAGACAGCAGTGGTGATGATGGACAGTGTGTTTAGGATTCACGGTTTACCCCAGGACATTGTGTCGGATCCGGGGCCACAATTCGTCTCCAGGTTCTGGAACGAGCTTTGCAAGCTCATCGGAGCCTCGGCGAGCCTTACATCGGGGTACCACCCTGATGTAAGGCTCGCCGTCATTGTCCTCCTCCCCGGCTCCGGCCTGACTGACAACATCGGGTTAATGAAGGTTTTCTCTGTGGGACCTTTGGCTTAAGTTCAGAAATGTGTCCTTGTTGATCCGTTATTTGTTTTTGTCCTAAACAGCTACAAACTCACCAAAGTGCGCTGGGTTCGTCCTCTGAGGACCATGAACGTGTCCTCGGAGACGTTGTGCTTTAGTGAGTTTAAGAAGAAAGAAAAGAAGAAACCGTTAATATGAAGAAATGAGAAACTCGTCCTGGAGATGAAATGTGACTCCGGCTCATCGACTCGTCCTCAGCAGGTTTTTGTCTCGCTCTCTTTCACTGTGTGTTTCCCCTTATTACTTAATCTTTGGCTCTGGGACCAAACTGTACGTAACAGGTAAGAATAAACGTTTAATTCCTTCAGTTGTTTCACTGAACAAGTTGAAAATGTGATTTTAATGAGTTCACGATGCTTCACATATTAATGTTTTCATCATTAGTAGATAAATATTGATCCCGTGCAGCTGCTGTGCATCACTAATGATAAAAATGACTGAGTTATTCTTTATTCCTGCAGAAGATTAAAGTGATTTAAATGTATTTAAATGATACAGAATCTGATCCTTTCAGTTATTGAGCTTCATCTTAAATCAGAAAGTATATTAAATAAAAATGATCCTTGTTTTCAAACTGAAAATGTTTTACTTTAAATATATATATACTCTAATAATAATATAATCTACTATGATAGAATTAGTAAATACTTGCCGTTAATATTTTAAGTGACGGTATATTGTTTTAAAGACAAATTATTAGTATTATTATTAGTATTACATCACATCACACGTCATTTATCTGACGCTTTTATCCAACGCGACTTACAATAAGTACTTTTAACCATAAGGACACAAACTCAGAGGAACAAGAAACAAGAAAGTACAACATCATTAAATAAGCCAATTTACAATTTGCTATAGATAAGTGACATAAGTACAATTTAAGTGCTACAATTTGTCAGTCTTTTAATCGAGGTATTATTATTAGTAGTAGTAGTAACAAGAGTAAATTGTAAGCTGGCTAAATAAATAGTATTGTTATAACGACAGTAACTGAAATGAAGATTGTATTTTAGGAAAAGACTAAAATATGCAGTTCATTAGAATGTTTGTTGGCTTTCTGTTAGCGTGACCGTAAATCATCAGATCATACGTGTGTTTCCCTCTAAGAAAATATTTTTAGGGTTGTGTCTTATATTTATTTTTGGTTTTAAGCGTCACAATATTCATTATTATTATTATTATACTTATTATTTAATTGGGAAAGATATTAGTCAAATTTGATACATGTCATATTAATAAAGGTTTACGTTTTCATGACACATTTTATTTTTAAATGATCTGTTATATTTTGTATGAAATCATTTTACAGAAATATTGAGAAATTATCATTTAGTCATATTTTGTTGTAATGTAGTATTTGTAATAATAGAATTCAGGTGAACACATTCTGTGTGCAGTGAACTCTGTGCTGTGTTGATTATCAATTTATTCATTATTTTGTGTTCTATTATGTTACATAATATAATGTAATATAAACTTATATTATATTTCATTACGTTATGTAATGTTGACAAATTACATCATATCACGTTGTATTATATTACATCATATTACATTACATCATATTACATTACATCATATTACATTGTATTATATTACATTATATTACGTTGTATTATATTACATCATATTACGTTGTATTATATTACATTATATTACATTGTATTATATTACATTATGTTACATTATATTACGTTATATTATATTACGTTGTATTATATTACATTATATTACGTTGTATTATATTACATCATATTACATTGTATTATATTACATTATGTTACATTATATTACGTTATATTATATTACGTTGTATTATATTACATTGTATTACATTGTATTATATTACATTATTCACGTTACTTTACATCATATTCTTGTAGGTTACATCACATGACGTCGTGTTATTTATGTCTTCAGGTGAGCCGGTGGTGAAGCCCGTGGTGAGCGTGTACCCAGCAGCATCCAGCGCCCACCTGCAGGGGAGGAGCTCCCTGCTGTGTGTGGCCTCCTCCATGTTTCCTCCTCTGGTCCGGTTCTCCTGGAGGAGACGTGAGGAGCACGGTTCTCTGCAGGAGAAGCTCCCTGATGATGCAGAGCAGCTGGAGTTCACAGAGTCCGGACGCACCGCCTCCATCTTGCTGCTCCATCAGCAGGAGACCAGCCGCTATCGATACCGCTGCTACGTCCACCACGAGGGGGGAAAGGTGGAGGCCCCGAGCGAACAAGGTGACCAGAGGTCATCATCTTCATCTTCACGTGGAGACGCTGCTGTAAAGACAGCAGAGGAGCAGAGGAGGCTCCTCCTGATGCTCCTCACTCACAACCAGTCCCTGCTTTTCTGTTTCAGAGGACAGAGTTCCTCCATCAGCTCCTCCATCAGCTCCTCCGTCAGCTCCTCCGTCAGCTCCTCCGTCAGCTCCTCCGTCAGCTCCGGGCCCGTCTCCGTACCAGGTGAAGCTGCTGTGCCGGCTGTACGTCGTGCTGATAGTGAAGAGCCTGGTGTTCTGCTGTGGAGTCTCTCTGGTGATGGTCCTCAGGAACACGGCTCACATGTAGGACTTCTCTCCTCATCTCCTCCCATCAGTTTGTCCCTCTGATCAGCCAACATCTGCTGATCTTCACATGTTGAACACCATCATCCTAAAGGCATGAACACATACATGTGTGTATTCTACCAATAGTTGCAGTAGATCCGTGTAAATCATTTCTCGTGTTAGTTGGAGTATTTCTACTTAAATATCTGATATAAAACAACATGATGCTGAATCATCAGCTGTCTGTTAAATATTCTTCTTTTCCTTCAAATGAATGTCGATTATCTGTTTGTTGAGTTGCTTTTATACGGAATATTGATGAAGTCTGTTGATGTTCTTTGTGTTTGTTTCTTCATGTGTTGAACACGTTATGAAATAAATAAAAACACACAGACACAATGTTACCGGACTAATTCCTTCAATGATGGAAATACAGAAACAAACCACAGCTCCTGATTCAGAGCTGCTCCCGTTTTAACGCTTTCACTCTTAAAGTCACTCCAGTGTCTCCACCTGAAGGAGGATCTATTTCCTGGACCACGGACCTCCGACCAGAAGCTTCATCAGAGGATTCTGGGTCTCGTCCACACGGTGAAGACCTCCAGGTGGGTCGTCAGCGGAGGTCTCTGGGTGCACAAAAGGCCTCCAGAGAGGAAGAGGGGAGAGGAAGAGGAGCTGGTGAGCGTGGCAGACGTTCTCTGTGGTTATTAGCTCTCATGACGAGCTGCTCACAGCCCGTCACCACTTCCTCTCCTGCAGCAGATGCTGTGTGGTTTCTGCAGAGACGTTCTCACAGGAGCCACACGGCGACAGTTACAAGCATCTCCTCTGGTGGACCATCGCTCCGTGATCTTCAGTTAGACGTCAGAAGACTTTACCAACTATGACAGTGAGTCAATAACAGCTTGTTTGAATTCAGCAGAAGATGCTGGATATTCAGAGAAATATTCGGAAACATGTTCAGGAGAATATTTAAAAAATATTCAACCACTAAAAAGAATATAGAAAATATTAAAAAAATATATTAGAAAAATTATGCAATGAAATAAGTGAAAGCTGAAATCTGTGTTTGCCACATAAAAAAGACAATACTTACCAATATAATGACATAAAATAATGGAAACAGAAACTTATCTTATCTGGTTTTCTCAATTCCGGGGGAAGAAATCAAAATGTTATTTTGAGGGAACCAGTGGGATAATATGTTGTCACATAAATAATATTCAAAGAAATATTTTTTTTTCATTCCAAAAGAGATCTTGGAGAATTCATAGAAACATTGAAAAAACATTCAACAGACAACGATATTCAACACGTCTGCGTCCTCAGCAGGTTCAGCTCAGGGATTGGCCGAGACCGCTCCTCAAGCTCCTCCCCAAACCACACCCCTTAAAGACGTACTACCTCCCGACCGTGATTTTCCTCTTTGAGTTTTAGCACTCAGCTTCCTTCTTGCCGCACGTGGTAACAAACGCCAGCTTCTCTCCCTTTGGGACACCTGAACTTCGCCCTACGCATCCTCAATGGAGATCAGTCACCTCGCAGCATCGCTCCGTCCAAAGACGCTCCAATGCGTCCTCCATCACGCTGGGTTCAGGACCTCGGCCCCTCTGAGGCCGGTTCCTCCGTGTCGGGCAGCGGCGTTCAGCTCGTAAACCCTTCTCGTCTTACTGGACATCTCTGTGTATCTGTACTACGGGAACGATTCGCTGGCAGAGACCACGCCCCCAAATGGATGTGTTCAACCATCTTATTTGGGGGTCGTGAGCGATGGGACTGTACGTGGGTCGGTGGGTGTAGGGAGCTGCGTGGGAGGACGCGGCGCGGCGCCCGGACGCAACTAACAACCACACGCAGACGCCTGCCCGTCGTTCAATCCGGTCTTGGTCACATGTTTCGTCACCTTTCATCGTTCCAAGATGGCGCTTGAGCTCTTATGAAGGAACATCTGTGTCCTCATCGTGTTCTTCTGCCTGGAGGATCTGAGACCAAACACATTCATTATGATTATCGCTACTGCCTCGTTTGTTCACGTATTGTAGACGATCTCCTGCTAATATGTCTTCATTTAGGTCGGAGTGATTCATCAGATGAATAAATACCTCACGTTAAACTGCATTTCTTTGTCATTGTGCTACATGGAATGTACACACAGTACCTCCTGCTTCAGGTGCAGGTGAGTTACCTGCAGCGTCTTAATCCTCCAAAGCTGATGTAGGCGGGTGAGATGTAATGACACCAGACAGAACACTAAATGTAGGGCTCCTTATCCGTGACTACTCCTTGGGTAGAGAGCAGAGTTAATGGAGCTGTTCCATTTTGTGATTATGAACTAGTTCCAGTGTACGATTATCACTTTATCCCTTTCAACGTTTCACAAGTAAACTTGATGCATATTTTCTGCACACAAACACCTGCAGTAGTAACCGTCCTGCCAATATGATCAGAGTCAAAGCCTTAAAATGATGACTATGCATAGTGTGGTACAAGGTTCAGAGCGTCATCAGCAGCTCTCACATGAACAACATCTGGAATCATCGACCGAAACAACATCGACACCTTTAGCGTCAAACTATGTTGTTTACACACACAGTTCAATGTACGTTCTCTGTTCTGCACACAGACGACGTTCAACATGCTACGCTGCACAGTCACATGCAGAGAGCAACGCCACTTCCTGTTTCCCTCGTCACGTGTCGCTAGCTGTCCTGGGAGCGCAGCGCCCTCTAGTGGCTTCAGTGGTGAACATCATCGCCCCGCTGACTGGTGTCGGCCACAGTCCCTCAGTCAGAGAGAACCAGGCCCACGGGGTCCATTCCAACGTGTCCTTGATGCGTAGCTGAGCTTAGCTAACGGGGACACGTCCAAGCGCGTGTAGCCGCTGTTAGCTCACTGCGGGCTAACGCGTGCTAACGTTACGTGCACGTAGAAAGTGGTTCTTCGTGTCCACACAGCAGCCCTCCATGTGGTTCTTAATAAAACAGGAACAACATGAAAACAAAGTAAAGTGCTGCTGCTTTTAAAATGATTTTGACCAAATACAAAGTCAACGTCCCTCCGTGACAGTCGCCTCCCGTCCCGTCTCCCCTCTTCCTCCTCGTCCTCCTCCTGCTCCTCTTCCTCCACCTCCTCCTCCTCTTCCTCCTCCCCCTCTTGCTCCACCTCCTCCTCAACCTTTAGCTGATGTGCGTCCGGGAACTAGGCTACAGTGATAAGAGCCGAGAGGCGAGAGATCCATCAGAACATCGAGTATAAAAAAGGGCGACGTGACCGGAGGATGCGTAGAAGCTGTCGATGAGAGCGAGTGGATATGCTGTCATTAGACAGTGTGCGACG